AATATTTAAAATATGCAATGTATATGGTTGCAAGGTGTTGCAACTCTGCACAGACTAACGGTTTGAATACCGCAGTATAACAGTATCCATACATTGTATTCGTACGTTTTGGAAGTCAGCTTATGTATGTACATTTGGGCGGTCCAAAAATGCATGTGAAAAAGTAAAGTCGGCATTTTTATGCTCTCACCCCCTAGGATTGTTGTTTACGGAAAAAATATACCCTTATCTTTTATTTGGAGATCAAAAAAATATTTAGAGGCCGCTCGAAACGCCCAAAGTTTTCCATGTATTTTATAAAACCACTTTTCGTAGAAATGGTATATAATAGTTAAACATCGATATTTTTCTACCAGAAAAATCTGTTTATCTGCAGGAGATTCCCAATAATAAAACCTAATTGTTTATTTAAAAATTTTCTCATTGCAACAAGAATTTATAGGTTCGCCAAAAACGCAGAAAAATGCAATGGGGCGACCAATAAAAAATCGTTAGTATTAAAAAATGGTTAAATAAACAATTGGGTACTATTACTGAAAGTCTCCTGAAGAGAACTAGAGTTTTCCGTTTGGAAAATATTGACTTTCAAGAATTTTATACAATTTCTACGAAAAACTTTATTTTTCCCATATAAAAATACATGGAAAACTTTGAGCGCTTTAAGCGACCTCTAAATATTTTTTGATTTCAAAATAAAAAAATAGGGGTATACTTTTTTCGATATAGAACAATCCTAGGGGATAAGAGCATTACAATTCCGAATTAACTGTTTTTGGACCACCCTAATATACATACATACATGAGTACACTAGTAGAAAAGTAGGCCGCAGACCTGTCGCTTTTCGTTCGCTGACGTCACGAACATCTCATTCATAGCTAAGTTTTTGCTTTTGAAAGTTTCCATACCTCTGCTTCGTACTGCATAAGCCCTTACACGAGCATACGACCCTGCAGGAAATGTATCTAATTATAAGCTAACTTTAAGTGGATTAGGAAGGAGCTAAAAGTCGCTATTATCTGTATATTTTCTTTGACGAAAGCTAACTATATTTCTATGTAACCAACTACTTTGGGCATAAAATATCAATAGGAAAAATCAAATGTTTTTATTTCTATTTTTTTATTTTATTACTTTTCATATTTGTTTACATATTCTGCTGTAGGTGGTACCATATTCAAACTCCGTCAGGCATAACTTCAAATGATAATATACAATTTCGATCTTCCTTTTATTTGTCCTCAATTCAGAAAAGTATTTAAATAGAAACGCGTGTGAAGAAAACCATCTCCTGCATTACTTGTCAATTTGCTTCAAGTTACCTTTTTGTAGCTAATTCCAAGTTATATAATAATAATAGAAGAGGGACCTACAGTTTTACGCCGACTCCGAACGGCGATTGTATTTTTATGAGAAGCTGTTTTTCATGGCAGAAATACACTCGGAGGTTTGCCATTACCTGCCGAGGGACGACCGCTGTTAAGAAAAACCCTTTTTTCTATTTTTTTTTCGATGTTGCTTTGACCAGGGCTTGAACCCAGGCGCAGCGGAGTGGAAGCGCGCACTGCTTACCACTACACCACAGCGGCCTCCAAGTTATATATTTTATAGAAATCCCGCAAAAAAGATAACTACAAGTGGGTTATTTTTTTCTGCAGGGGATTATGAACGTACTTGCGTATTCACTGAGAAGTGGTGGCCTTGCAATAAATGAGCCGTTCAATGCACAAATTTGTTAACTCCCTTAACAAAAAGTTTGGGGGTTACAATGAATATACCTTGTACATAAAAATTCCATTTATAATATACATACATAAATTAAAATTAAGAATAATATTTGAATATTTTATAGTTATTATAAATATAATAAGTTATACCAAGTGGTTTGACACTTCAGTTTAAGATTTTTCAAGGAGTGGAGTCAACAAATTTCTGCAGTGAACGGCACAAATACAAACAAATAGTGGTATTATGCCGTATATGTACATATGTACATAATATATACATAATGGCAACATTAATATAGACTTTCACAAAAATTTGTATCTGGCCATGACAGAGGTCGTAAATAAGCCTCTCAACTTATTTTGTATGGTGTTTATCACTCAAGCAAAGAATGTTTCTCACCGTGTCAAATCACTCTGTGCGATCTTTTTGTGTTTTCTGTTGTGGGTTATTTTCCCTTAGACGAAGACACTTTCGCATGAACTTTTCTTTTTAAGTGTCCGAGACCAACAGCAACGGAAATTATATGCAAATAGCCCTTTTCCACTGAGAGGAGCACGCATCTACCAAAAATAAACCACCTATTCTCTCTTGTGGGTTATTTTTTCTCTTAAATAGCTTAACGCTTATTTTGGGACACTTTCAAAGTGCAGAATGTTATTTTCGACTCTGGGCCATGATCTCGCAACCGTTGAAAGTATCACAACTATTCATAAGTGCTTTACACAAGACAATAAAATCGAAAGCAATACTCTTTCTTAAGGCACTGTCACACGATTGGGCATTTGCCCAAAATTTGGTGTAAATTGGATCCCAGTCGTGTGAATTTACAAATAATTTGCTTTATCCCAATCAAGAAAAACAGTTTGTTCTAATTTTTCAATAGAAATTCACTGTATTGTACCATGGTACCAATATTGTGACTACAAAAATAATTGTCGTTGCAATTTTTTTCTTTTGTACCAATACCCCAATATAAAAAGGTACAAATCTGTACAAACTTACCAATTTTTTATAAAAATTTGAGGTCACTGAGCCAGAATATCGCTAGGTTAGAGTGAAAAGTTGCTAAGTCCACTTTTTATGAAAACTCATATTTTGGTAAGGAGGCTAGAGAAACTTGAAATGCATCGTTACGAAAAAAATAAAGGTACTTGTTTTATTTATACTCGTTTATATTCAATAAAAGGAAAATTTGCTAAGTCCAGAAGAAGCACCGAAAATGCGATAAGGCCAAAATATGTAGTACGAAAAAAAACGAATACATTTCTAGCAAAAAAAGGAAAACACAGATATACTTACTATCACTAAATGAAGCAGTACTAAGCCACTTTTTATTCGATTTTAATTTACTTATGACATTTGGAGAACTGATATTATGTACTTTTTTATAAAGATCAAATAATGTTTTTTATTGTCTCAAATAATCGGTCAAATAAGAGCGGAAAGAAAACGAAAGTTTTTTGAAAAATTTACGTAGGTATTTTTTCAAATAAAAAGCAATACTAAGAGCTTCTTCAGCTGATTTTCAAACTTTTTTCTTTGTTATAAAGGTAAAACCCATGTCTTTCAAACAGAAAAAAAGATTTGAATTCGACCAAAAAACAAACAAACTTATAACTTCTTGAAGTTGTAACTTGACGAATACCAAAGTTTTATTAAACGAAGTGATGGAGAAAAATTATAAGTATAGTCCTATCCTATGGGCTATAACAAAACATAATTTCTATATGAGAACCCTGTGTCATTTACGTAGACGTAAGAGGCTTGCCCAAAAAGGGCTGAAAAAAGTGCTTCGCTCCTCGGCTTCCAGACGGGCTTTTCCTATTTACAATTTACGCGCAGGCATCTATATACAATTGCTCAGTAATACGACTTAGGGTGATCTGGAGTAGCTACAGACTTTAATTATATATCAAATCGGTGCAATATGTTGGAAAATATTAACCAATTTTCCGTGAAATTGTGATTAGTATTCTTTTTATTCATAGTTTTGACATATATATGTATTTCACGAAAAAAGAAAATAAAAATAACTGAGATCACTTTATTTTTTAAACACCTAGGGTATCACTGTCAAATTTAAAGGACCCTGGATGACGGTAAAACTCAAAACTTTGAAAATCTTTTTATGTAATTTTTGAAATGAACGATCCAAATTAGCCTTATGTATTTTAATATTTTTAGAATCAGTGGTTGAATTTTTGTACTGAATGGGTTAACGGCGCCAATTTTAAGTGAATATTGCGTGTCAGACTACGACTAATAAAGCTCTTGGGCGGATATTGTGAAAGGTTGGACTATATCTACCTTAAAAATAACTGTTTTCTCACGGGCCACAGTATGAAGCTATGAGTAGAGTAAGGCCCTTTAATATCTTAAAAATTTTCTTGGGTTATCAGGTCTCTAGCAATGTAAGATTAATTGTTGTCTTTCACGAAGTTCTTTAAATAAGTCTTCAGCTAAATATTGCTTGTATGAATATATTATTTAGCTTTACAGATGAATTTCAATATGCCTTTTAAGTAGGAATAAAAAGTATTTGACATGCACCTTAAGTAAACCCCTTAAAAAAGTATGATTTTTATGAATTAAGGAAATAACTATAGCAAAACTCCACCAAAAAGCCTTCGAAATCCGTCCTACAAAAGCCCGTCCGAAAAACCTTCTGTGAGTAGCGAAAGCAGAAACCCTTCAATTTTTGCCACTCCATACAAAAAATTGAGGAATAAGTGGAAGGACTCTTGACTCTCAGGAAGGCGTTTGGAAGGGCTTTTAACTCTTGAAATTATCTACTGGGATCTTCATATAAATTACCCATACGACGTGGTGGCCACATTGAATTTTTTTCTTTTAAGCATGGAATGCTACATATGGATATCGTCACTAGACACGAATAAAGGCACGAGCTCAAAAGTTGATAGCGCATAAAAAACCGTTAGCGAAGAAAGACTCTTAACATAGTCCACGGTGAAAAAAGACGCGTAAATTATTTCTGCGGTCAACTATGTTTGCGGGTAGAATAGTACGTAAAAGAGTTTTTTGGGAATGATAATGAAGTGACAGTCCTTGGCCGGTTATAAATCTGTGTTTACGCGTGTTTCTTCACCAAAGTTTTTTTTAAGCGCCTTTTTTCAACATTTTTTTTACGCGTCTTTCTTCGCCGTCAAAACACTAGCGCATTTTTATTCGTCGCTAGTGATTATATATAATTGGTTTTTATATCGGAACCAATTGCATAGTTGTTGAGTTTTAAACAAATTTCTTCTTTTTTCAGTGTGCAACTTCGTCATACATGATCGCTGTGTATCAAGTGTGGTTACGCCATGTTCCGGTATTGCTCCCTGTATCATAAAGGTGAGTTTATCATTAATACAAAAATTTTAGAGTGCCATTGACAATGGTTTAACTATCGATTTTTGTTTATACTGACACATAAAGCGCTTTGCTTTACTTCTCAGTGATTCGAAACGGATGCGTAAACTGAGTTTCAATACGTTTTGAAATTCAGAAGTGTATTAACTGTCATTCGTTGTCAAATTGGTATTTTATTTTCCATATCGCACTATAGTTTGAAATTGAAAGATTGAGGAAAAAGAACCAATTTTAGACTTTTAATTTTCGGAAAAAATATAACGACATTCGACCACTTATTATCCCAGTAGTTTAAAAATAAATATGTAAACAAATGCCTGGTGGGAACCACTTGTTAGTCAGAAAGTGTTCAAAGTCTTTGTTTTGATTTCCCTATTGGTTGGCATTCGGTATATTCAAGTTGTATTAAAATCTTAAGTGGTGATAAAAAGTAAACAATTACAAAAATAGTGTGTTTATAAAATGGATAATACTAATGAAGGTAAATGGTAAAAAATGGATAATACTAATGAAGGTATGCAAAATGTAGAGTATTTCACTTTCTTGTAAAAGAGTCGTCATGATATTGTATTTTTGCGTTTAAATAGAGCGTGTTAGTCTTTAAATTTTGCAGGCAATTATTGTGTGTTAAATATTGGGGTAAAATAGGATCAACAAAATCTATATATGTATGCGGTCTAAGGTAATTCAGGACAAACTAACTAAAAAATAGCGAAAGTTTGGTTTGAGAACAATAAAGATGTTGTAGCTGTGTATGATTGGATTGCTGGAAGATTAAAAAACGGACAGAGAAGAAGAAATCAAACAAATCAGATACAAAGTTACATTGTTTTTTTAAACGCAAACAGAAGGTGGCAAAGACGCGATGGAAATGTTCGAACTTCATAGGTAGCCGATAGCGAGTGTTACAGTGCGATACTGAAATTTTGGAAACCGTTACTGCAAAGGCGCGAGGACATCCACAGATGTCATATGATAAGTTGTGCGAACGACAGAAAAGAAAAATTGCATCTAAACTAACATCGGAACAAGAAAACAACACAACGATATTGGCTCATGCAGCATCAATTTCGGCAAAGTCTTTGAAAGAAAATGATCTTCGGTATCTTTACAACGCAGTGAAACCATCTGCATCTAGGCCAAGTAAGACCAAAAACTAAATAAATTGGAATGTTGTACATTCATTTGCCTTGTCTCCTGAGCATGCCTTGGCATTTTTATTGAAACATTCGGCAACTCACGGCATGTCCCATAATTGCGATATACGTACGTACATATATCCCCACTATAATAAATTGCTTGATTGTAAGTTGAAATGCCGACCAAATGAAATACAAACCACAGAAACATCAGCAGTTGTTCCATTACAAAATTTAATTGACCACATGATCAAAAGAATTTTATTACACCAAGATTACGTTCTATATCAGTTTAAAGGAAATAATGAAATAAGCTTTATTTTAAGCTATGGATTAGATGGCTCAAATGGACATAACTTATTAAAGCAAACATTTTTGGAAAATGCTCCGTAGTCATTGGACCAGTCATCGTTTGTGACATCGATGAATTCTTTTAAAATTAGTAATCCAGTCCGGTAAAATTGTTTGGTGGAATTCTACTCTCCAATCTATAAAATGTGACAAGATTTACTATAAATTATTAATTTACACACCTTTTTTGTCATATCTCAACTATCAACTAAAGACTTAAAATCACCAAGTTTTATATCGGAATATATACAAAGCTATCCTATTTACATATAGGTAATGTTTTAAATTAGATCCACATTTACAGTTTCCACTTTTAATGACAGCTATAAGAAAAAATGGGCGTGGCTCTCCCATTTTTAACAACATAACGACATAACTTTAACTGGAAATAGCCTATACAAAATTTCAGATCGCTAGCTCAGCTCCAACTATTTTATTCCTCAATAATTGAATTTTGAACCATAGTGCCTCAGTTAGAAAACACGTATGGATAAGTGCATAATTCATTTAAGGCGAATTCAAAATCCGCTAGCTTTATTTATCCACTCCGTTTTATATGAGCAGATTTTGTTTACTTTTGGGTACCATTTTATTGAGTGCGCTATATGTCTTGTGTCAAATCGGCTTTTGTTAGTGCGTTTCTTACGTCGTATTTAAACTTTTTTTTTTTGAATTTATGTATTACGTATTTAACTAAGAGGTTATGAAGATGAATCCATAATTAAATTCTTGTCAATAAACAATGGCTTGGCCGCGCATTGTAATTTCGATAGATTTAGGGCCTAGGAATCAGAACTTCGTAAACAAAAATGTGTTCATTACCGCGAATTTCACTTAATTATCTGTGCCTCTTACTTATAATAATGGCGTTTGACATATTTTCTTTACAGAATCCTGTTGCTCACTGCTGGTCTGAACCGACTCATCATAAAAAGAAATTCTGCACCGTTTGCCGTCGACGATTAGATGACAGTCCCGCGGTGCATTGTTTAAGTATGTTATCCATTTATTTGATCTATATTTGTTCAAAATAGATACCGTAATAGGTTTGTTTCCGTTTGAAGAAAATTCCACTTAAAGTACATAAGGCTACAATTTACGAAAACGAGTTCAGTCTTTTGGTCATATTTAAGTTCACTTTAAACTTACCGCAGAAAGTTTACCAAAGTTTTTCTCACTAGCAATATTGAATAGGTTAATAGTGAAAACAAATATTTCTAAATAAAGCTTTGTATGTAAATACATATAAACGAAATAGGACCATAAATATTGGTTTATCAAATATATCGACTCGTGCGCCATCTATCGTCCAAAATTGTAGTGGAGTTATTCCTTTTCATGTTGTTAATATACGTTCTACATAAATATGAACCAAGTCCGACTTTAAATGCAGGGTTCTCAAATATCTCAACTCCTGCGCGACCTCGGATAAACTCATCTTTTGTATTACATTGCCATTGAGTTCTGAGCCAACTGTGAAGTTTCAAGTCTCTAGGCCATCGGAAAGTTGGTCAGAAAGTGATTGCAAAATTTTTTCTAACAAACATACTTAAGTACATATGTACATACACACAGAGCAAGTTAAATAAAGGCTTGAAATAACTGAAAAAAAAAAATTATTAAATGAGTTCGGGACTGATTTTACAATATTACACAGTACAAGTTAGCGATGAAAAATAAAAAGATCTTGAAGCTTTAAGCCCTGAAAATATTTGTATGTCGTCTTGTGCAACCAAATGACAAGTAAATTTTAAGCAAAAAAAACAAAACCGACTTTAATTCTCATAAAAAATTTAAGATTATCGTTAATTTCCTTTTGATCTAATGATCGGATCTAAACAAAATTAGTACAAGACCACCTCTGAGGTAACACCTTTCCCTTAAAAGAATTATAGAAATCGGTTACGGTGGTCCAAAGTTATGCGGTAAGATACATACAAAAATATATATTCCGACAAATTGATAACCTCCTCCTTTTTTGGAAGTAATTTCCCATATAAAAATTTATGAGTACCGTTAATTTCTCCATAATCTAATGATGGGATATAAACCAAATTAGTATGGGACCACCGCGGGGGTACCACATCTCCGTAATACCTTCTCTACATAACCTTCTCCTTTTTTTTTGAAGTCGGTTAAAAACATAACTGACTTCAATTCTCATATAAAAATTTAGGAATACCGTTAATTTCTTCACGATCCAATGATCGTATCTAAACCAAACCTTGAGGTACCACATTCCCGATAAAAAAAGAATTATCGAAATCGGTTGAAGAGGTTCAAAGCGTTAACATACATAAAAAAAATATTCCGATGGATTGATGACCTCCTTGTTTTGACGTCGGTTAAAACTGAAAATAACTATTTTTTTTATCGAAAAAATAAAACTTATGCTATTAATATTATGAATATTATTGAAAAAAATAGTGACTTAATGCTTCTGTCTTCACTTTCCATGCAAGGGTGCAAGTTATCTTAAAAAGTTCAGCAAATTTCTTTGCAATCTTCATTCAAAAACTTTAAGAACCTCATTCGCTGATACATGAACTATTAAAATCATTCGGTTGACATTGATAAGAGAATTTTCCAAAGGCTTCTTTTCGTAAAAGTTAGGGTACTAAAATCCACTACATGCTTAAATTTCATACGTATATGAGATTGCACTATGAAACGAGAAAGGGAAAGCTGCATGGAGACTCATCTGCACGATCGTTTTCGGGGATTCTTCTGAAATGTCTATGGAAATAAACAAAGCAAGCGCGAAAAGACTTGATATACGTGCAATAATTCTCATGAAATTAAGTACTTTACTGAGAAGATGGTTTAATTTTTTAATATAAATTTCAAGTTAGAAAAAGGCATTTTTAAGTAACAAGAGAAAAACTACTAGTTGTCTTAATTTTGACAGAAAATAGGTATTTTTCGTCCTCAAGCCAGACAATGCGGGAACAAATCTAAAAACATATTTCCTCACTGGCTTACTATTCCAGTACCAAGATGTTTTAATCAACAGTGGTTTTTTTTTGTCCCGTTCTCTCCGTAGTTTGCGAATATTTCGCACATATTGAGTGCCAAGATTTTGCTGTGCCTGATTGCACTGAGAATGCGACGTACGTGCCTGGCAAGGAATTGCAGAGTGTAAAACATCAGGTAAGTGTTGCTTCTGGGCTTTTCCCATTAAATAAATCTCCAATCAGTTAGTTGCTACTCGTGGATTAATGTATTCGGGAAGCTTTCAAAACATATGAAATTGGTTATGAGATTTCCAAGGCATCAGTGTAAAAGAAAAATTAAGTAGTTGCAAGAAATGCTAAAATCAAACTTGAAACAGTTAACAATAATAATTTATAATAATAATTTATTATTCACATGAGAAGTGTAAAACATTATTTAACCTTAGTTCTAAATAAAGTCCCCAAAAAAGATGATAAGTCGAGGCTCCTTTATTTAAATACGTTGTCTACTTGTTGTACACAAATAGCATCACTGGCGGGAGGGCAATCTACCACCGACGTCCAAATGCGCCTACTGCAAGAAAACGTGCTGGTCATCGGAATGCCTGACAGGTGGGTAAAAATCATAGCGACACTGCATGCTTTGGTAAATTAATTTATGGATGGATGGCGTCACAAAAGCATGCACATAATATATACTATGTATGTACATATATACATATATATTTGTTTTCATTACCACTATGTAGGCTACCGCTGCGAATGGTGTGGCATGACAACACATGGGGGATGTAGAATGTACCTGTCGACCGAATGTAATTTTGGTGTACTCCAACCAATCTACTTATCCCCACATTCGGTCTCTATACCGCGTACCGAGGTGCCAATTGAAGCTATTATAGGCGTACAAGTCAAATCAAAAACTGCATTAGTACGAGACTATTCGTGTCGTAAGTATATATACATATACATGCACATAATTATAAAATAATAAATGTAGCATTTTCTATAGTCCTAACTTTTGACGATTTTATTAGTAAAATAGTTACTCTTTTTATGGCCAATCACATTGAAGAGACGCTAAAACAAAAAAAAAACGACGAGACACCTAAACATAATTTTGTATATCGTTTTTCTATATCAGGCCATTTTCCAAAGATATTTTTATTTTAAGTTGCATCGTGAATAAAAAAAATGTGAACTTTAATTGGGTAAAAATACGCCATTTCATATTTACATGGCCACACTCGTACATTAGGGGGCACAGTGGTTCAGAGCTCACATTTAGCACGAATAAATTCGTATCTCCTATAAAGCGTGACCGATTTTTCTCAAATGACAAGCATATTAGTCTGCTTTGGAAGGGACACATTTGAAACTAAAACTAGTTTCGATACCTCTTCTGGTACCGAAATTATAGCTTAAAGTACCATCCGTTAAATTATAAAAAGTATGACAATATGGGAGTGAAGTAAAAGGTAATTGGAAATATTTTAACATAGACATATCTTCGGGTTGCCAAACTGTCAAAATTTTAAAATTATTTTACAATATTCGTTTTCATAATTTTTCCGAGAGAATAGAGAAATTTTTATTAAACATAAATGACGTTGCAAGTATTAAGTACATTTTTACGTTTTTTCAATACTCATATAAAAAATCCAAAGTTGTTTCTTTATCATAATATTTTTTTGTTTCGATGCAACTCTATTTTGTTTTCAGAAAAAAACAAGCTTCAAATTTATAAAAAAGAAACGTGAACACTACACAAATTTGTTGCAAGTAATTTTTACAGCATACGAATTATACGAGTTTTCTCACAATTCACTAGAAAATTTTAAACATTTTATAACCTATTTTAATTATAGTTTAAATAAAAATGGACCATCGACATTAAGAACAGCCAACTAAATAAATAAAATAATAAATAAAAACGGACCAACGGCTTTAAGAACAGCCACCTAAGACTCTGTTCGGCTGATGAAAGAGTGGCTTAAAAAGAACACTAAAAGTTCTTTACATATATTAATAAGGGTATATAGAAGCAAAAACAGTTCAGAGCAATTAGTATCAAACTTTCGCACTCACTTTTAATATGATGGAATCTGAAATACTTTACTCAATTAGTTTCAGACAAAAAATTTAAGTTAAGAATTAACTGGAGTCAATACCGCCAAGTGTGCTAAGTACCAGTTTCATTAAGTAATTCAGTGTGTGGCGCTTTATGCAGATTAATCGCATCTAGCTCCAGTTTTTTTTATTTTTTCCGCATTATCCTTGTAAGCTTAATTCAGATATTTATTTTTTTAATATTAGCTATAGTTTGCGAATTTTTGCAAATTGGGGAACAATTTCCGTAGCTCTAATAGAAAAGCCATTATTTTCCATCATCGTGGAAAAATTTTGTTTATGCAAATGAGTATGGAAACACTGATTAGGCACAACTTCTAGAAACACTAATTAGTTTACTTATGTTTATGCATACAATATAAAAATTGCAAATATAGCAAAATTACAAAATATTTTGTTAAAAATTTTTTTTATTTTAAAATAATTTGGTTATAATCTGAAAGATGTTCATCATATTATTATCATAAATCAGTAACAGTAAGTCTCGCCTTCAATTTGGTAATTATTACGTACAGATCGAGTAACATTTACCAAAATTGCATCAAAAAACTTAAGTGGTTCTCCAGTTTTTTTTTCTAAAAAAATTTCTCTTCAATTGTATTAATAACTTTTAAATAAAGGAACCGAATCACAGAAAAATGTTCCAGGGAGTGACTTTTTTCGTACAAGTTGAATGCAAAGCACTATCATCCAATTGGATAGTCCTCAAAAGGATTTCTCAGGATGTGTTAAAGACTTTCGCATTTACCTACAGCTACTTTTTCACATAATGGAATTAACTAAAATATTTATGTATATCTAAACACTGGTTGCACTGCACGTCCCCTAGTTTCATATAACGGCAAATTTAGAAACCGCTAAATACGTGCTTCTTCGGTGACTAATGAAACCATTCTGTACCAATTTTCAAGACTGCATAAATGGACTTAAAATGGGCGTTCATGACCCTAATTGTATTATGTTAATATATGTATATACTTATAGGCTTACAACATTTAACTTATCAAACGATTCCTAATCTTTGACAATACATGTTTGATCAAATTGGCGTTACCAAGTCCATGGTCCTTTTAATAATATGAACATACGAAAACATTTAAAACGTTTGAAATAAATCTCGTCTCACTTTTTTGTATTTTTCACATGGCTACTGAAGTAATGAAGAATTGAAAATTCATAATATTAGAGTTTTTGTAAGTTTTATCTTAATGTCTTAAAAACTTGAAGACTTATTGAAAAATTACAAATGAACGTAGGGTACTAAATTTAATAACCCTTAATTTGATATATCGTCCTGTTTATAACAATTAACGCATTCCATAGATTTTACAAGCCAAAGTTTCATTTTTAAAATTCATACACTTTGATTCAATTGCGCGGGCTAAAGATAAGTTTTAAATTAATCTTTCGTGGCCAATAACAATTTGCTTAGACCTAAGACATCATAATACTACAATTACAATACGGTGAAATGCCTTTTATTTTCCCCCTTACAAAATCGACCCAGCCTATCGTACATATCAAAGTACTCGTACATGGCGTATGGCGTAACATTCTTGCCTGCTCATATTTCATTCACAACTTTCTTATTTATCCATCGATTTTCTTCATTAGTAACTTGTTTGTAAACGAACCGGCTTTAATTTGTATAAATAAAAAAAAAAACTGTAAAAAATCTGTTATTTTGAATTTTTGTCATTCACGTTGTAAATTAAAATGAAAATATCTTTGCAAAATGACCCGAAGTAGAAAACGGTATACAGATCTGTAATCTACAATCCAAAATTAAGTTTATATTTTTACGTTTAAATATAGGGAAGCTTCGGTTTTGGTCTAGAAGTATGATCGATTTTTTAAAAAGTGAAACATCTTATTATTTTTGAATTCACTATATTAGGCACAATGGTTTTAACGCAACACTCTTATTTCAATTTAATACTATTACAGCCAGTTTCACCATGGAAATGATTTTCTGTCAACTTCCATATAAAATTCAAAAAATTAAAATCATTCTTCACTTAAATCGCTTTCGTGAAATTGGCTGTTAGTATTGGATACAACCTACTTAGCAGGGTTGCTGCGAATATTATTCCGAGATAAAAGTCCTTTCCGAATAATAAACAAACCGCCTGTCCAAATTAAACAAATTTGGTATCATATTAAAGAGGACTGAAATAGCTTTAAAACAGAAATAACGAACGACCTCTATTAAATATTTTTTTTTATAATTTAATACTGAAGAAATTCATATACCTGACACAAGGTTTGTTCAATATAATTAATAGAACAATGAATCATTTTCTGTAATCAAAATTCAGGAAAAGTTAAGAAAATGAAAATTTTAATTTTTTTACTTTGCAAACGTTTTTTCATTACCTAAAAATACACAAAAAATATGGCGCTACAGCAAGATGTCTATTCAAAGACACTTATAAAGTCAATTAATCTATTAAAATCCAACATAGTTTACTCTGAGCGCTTGAACATACTAATTCCTTTATGAATTGATCAAATGTATACTAAACACTCAAATCCTAAATTTCAAAAGTGTCTACGTGAAGAGCCATGAATCGAGCATTTTCTCTGAGAATATAGAAAAGTCATACAAAATGCTCAAAACGTGAAGAGCATTGAATAGAGTATTTCCTTTTTGTTTCTCTTAGTGCAAAATTTTTATCTACATNCATATACCTGACACAAGGTTTGTTCAATATAATTAATAGAACAATGAATCATTTTCTGTAATCAAAATTCAGGAAAAGTTAAGAAAATGAAAATTTTAATTTTTTTACTTTGCAAACGTTTTTTCATTACCTAAAAATACACAAAAAATATGGCGCTACAGCAAGATGTCTATTCAAAGACACTTATAAAGTCAATTAATCTATTAAAATCCAACATAGTTTACTCTGAGCGCTTGAACATACTAATTCCTTTATGAATTGATCAAATGTATACTAAACTCTNTGCAAACGTTTTTTCATTACCTAAAAATACACAAAAAATATGGCGCTACAGCAAGATGTCTATTCAAAGACACTTATAAAGTCAATTAATCTATTAAAATCCAACATAGTTTACTCTGAGCGCTTGAACATACTAATTCCTTTATGAATTGATCAAATGTATACTAAACACTCAAATCCTAAATTTCAAAAGTGTCTACGTGAAGAGCCATGAATCGAGCATTTTCTCTGAGAATATAGAAAAGTCATACAAAATGCTCAAAACGTGAAGAGCATTGAATAGAGTATTTCCTTTTTGTTTCTCTTAGTGCAAAATTTTGATCTACAAAATGACATTTCGTTGAAAGTGAAGACTTTTTGCTCGTTTTGAGTTCCTTTTCTGCATTTCAATCAAACGATCGTTAACGCTTGTTGAAATTTTTATAAAAATAAGTCGAAGAAAATCTTTTAAAATTGGCCAATTTCGCAAAAATGAACGTCTTGGCACTGAACGTCTTTACCAGAAGATTGGGAAGTTCCCAAAAACAATGGTTCCAGAAATGGAATAACTTATAGGTTGAAAAGCGGTAAGATAAAAAACATATTTTCAGTTTATTTTCATCATTCAATCCAAAAATGATATAGGCTTGAAAACAAAAACCATAAACCCGAATTCTCCTCGAGAAATTCAAAGTGTGCAAAAGAGAAATTATCGCCACTGTGGAATTTAATTTTTCACACAATTTCGTTTTCTTTTTTTTTAACCAATTTGCAACACAGTTTTCTCATAATCNACACAATTTCGTTTTCTTTTTTTTAACCAATTTGCAACACAGTTTTCTCATAATANACGACCTCTATTAAATATTTTTTTT